CACCGCCGCCACCCACGGGGAGCGGGGCGCCTGCGCGTGGTCCAGAGACCGCGGCTGTGGGGTAGGTGTGAGGCTAGCCGACCGGCGTGCAGGGCTGCGTGCAGCCTGCGTAGGCGTGCGGTCCACCGAGGGCCCTCGTGGCGCCAGGCTCGTGTTCCGCGCACCTGACGATAGGAACAATCGCGGGGTGGGCGTATGCCCGCGCGACGAGGGCGAGCGCGCCGGCGTACCGTACCTGCCCACATCTGCGTCATCTTCGTCCTCTGGCGCTGGCGTGACGCGTAGGACTGGCACGCGCTCCTCGTCCTCGTTCTCGACCTCCGGCGCTGGCGTGACGCGCAGGGCCGGCACGCGCTCTTCAGGCGTGGGGGAACGTGAGGGGCGTGCGTCGATGCGCGTAATGTCCCACTCGGCGCCGATGTAGCGGTATCCGCCCATGGTGTCGTCCATCTCCTGGGTGATGTCGAGCGTGTCGTCGCCCCACACGTCGCTCGCGCCGTCGAGCGTCGGCCCGTCGCCGATGTCGTCCGCCGCGGGGCGAGGGTCGGGCGACAGTCTGCGGGGCGACGGTTTGGGCGACAGCTCGCCTGGCGACGCCCGCGACGCATGGCTTGCTGCCGGCGAGTTCTCGCGCGTCATGCTGCGCGGCGTGCGCGCGCGCAGCGTCAAGCCTTTGAGGCCTGGCGTCTGGGTCGTGTGCGATGGCCCGGCGGGCGTCGAGGCGCGAGACGGCGTGCTGACGCGCGAGGAGGCGAAGGAGGGCTCCGGCGTCGGCCGGTCCCGGAAGTGCTGGAGCGCTTCGCCGTAGTCGAGCACGCGGGCTGGCGAGGCTGCGGAGGGCGCGGAGCGCTCGGGGCTCTTGCCTTTGCCTTTGCGGGGGGAGAAGATGACGGGCGATTGCTCGAGCGTCGAGGCGCGCGCGCTGGGGAAGCCTCGAGATGAGTAGTTGGACGCAGGGCTGGGCGAGGGCAGTGGCTTGAATGGCGAGAGGGCCGGTCGCGGGTGTGGAGATAGCCCGTTTGACGGCTGTGCGGAGCCAGACGGCGGGCGCACGGGCGAGTGGGTGTGCGAGGCCGGAGGCCGAGGCGACGCTTGGGGCGATGAATAGGGAGGAGCGCGAGGCGAGGCCTGCGGAGACGAGCTGAGAGCGCGGGCCGAAGCCCGTGGAGACGGGCTGGGAGCACGCGCTGAAGCCTGCGGGGAGGCGCTGGGTGCGCGCGCCGCAGCTTGAGGAGAGGCGCTGGGAGCGCGCGCCGAAGCCTGAGGAGAGGCGCTAGGAGCACCCGCCGCAGCGTTAGGAGAAGGGCTAGGAGCGTGATGGGAAACCTGCAAAGGGCTCGGAGGAGGGCGCAATGTCTGATGTGCAGGCGACAGACGAAACGCGCCGGACACCTGGGGATGCGGACCAGGCGACGGCGGCTCGATGTCATCCAAGCTCCCCGAGAGACGCGCCTTCGCCGGCGTCGAGCCGGCAAACTGCCGCCGCCGGCGACGCGCGGACGTGCCGAGATCTACCTCTTGTGAGCCCGGCGAGGTGCGCGGGGGCGCGGATGGCGCGGCGGGCTCACGAGTGGGAGAGGAGTAGCCGAGCACGCGGTCCCGGATCCGGGCTTGCCTCGCCGCGCGGTCCTCAGGGGACGGCTCAGTGACAGCTGGTGGTGGTGGGGAAGACGGCTGAGTGGCGGCTGGTGGTGGAGAGGACTGCTGAGTGACGGCTGGTGGTGGGGAGGGCTGCGTGACGGGCGGTGGTGGGGAGAATGCCGGCGACGAGGGCTGCATCGCCCCGCCGAGCGCGCGGTTGTACGCGACCACGACGTCGTGCAGCGAGCCCTCCTTCTCTTCCTCTGGCACATCCGGGATGTCCTCGCCCTCGTCTGCTTCCGTAGAGGCGCTGGCATCGAGGTCGGCGTGGACCGGCGAGCTGCCGTCAAGGGGGGTGACGAACGGTGGCTCGTCGGTGTCGTCGAGGATGGTGTCGTCATCGAGGTTGAGGTCCTCCCCGGTTACGTCCTCGTTAATGGCCTCAACAGTGTCGTCCTCCGGGTTGAGATCCTCCCCGGTTACGTTGTGCGCGTTGAGGTTCTCGACAGTGTCGTCTTCCGGGTTGAGGTCCATCGTCTCGCCCTCCGGATCGAGGTCCTCTCCAGACATGAACCCAAGGTCCAACCCATCGTCTCCTCCGTCCTCCTCCGGTACGACTGAGAGGCGCGGGGACGTAAACTGGTGCGGGCGTGGCAGGTCATCGGCCGTGTCGGGGAGACCGTCCTCATCTGCGTCCTCGTCATCGCGCGTATCTTCTTCTGCGTCGTCCGCGACGTCCTCTGCGTCGATCTCGAGCTCCTGGTGAGGCGAGCTGGGCTGGCGTGCTTCAACCTGTTCAGCTCGCGTAGAGAGGGGGGCTGGCGAGCGGGCGGGCAAGGGAACAGGCGACGAGCGCGCCGGCTCGGCGGGCAGTGTGGGTGAAGGAGAGTGAGCGCGCTTGGCAGACTCATCTCCTGTAACAGAAGCCTCTCCGGCCTGCGCGCCAGGCGAGGAACGGGCGGAGCCCCCTCTCGGCGCGGGGACAGCGCCGCGCGTGGAGCTGTCGACATCCTTGGAGCGGGATCCGTACGTCTGGACACGCGGCTCTGACGCAACGTCCTCGTCGAGCTCGGCCGTCTGCGCCATCCGCGCACCCAGCGCCTCGGCGACCGCCATCCGCGTGCCCTCGGACGCGAGGATGTCCTCGCGCTCGTCTTGCTGCGTGCGCGGCGTGGGACTCGGCGACATGTGCGCGAGGCTCATGTACCGCTCCGCCGGGGCTGGCGTGAGTTCGCGCGGGGTGAGCTCGCGCTCGGACCCGCTGGACGGCAGGTCGGGGTAGTCGCCGAAGTCGACGCCCTCGTCTTCGTCCTCTGGCGAGGGGGGGCCGGCGAGGTGTCCGAGCATGCGCGGCACGAACGGCGAGTCGAGATTCGCTGGTGCGTCTAGCGCTTGCTCCTCGGCTTCAGCTTGTGTTTCGGCCTCTGCCTCCGCCTCCGCTTCTGCGTTGACCTCGGCCGCGGCGTCGTCAGAAGCGTCCGGCACCACGGCGTGGCGCAGTTTGGAGCCCGCTTGGCGCGCAATCCTGCGCTGGACCTGGCTCGCGAACGTGTCGTCTGCAGCGACGCTCTCTCGGGGCTTGGGCATCGTCGTGCGCCGCTTCTTGACACTGCTCCGGCGCCGCTCGAGCTCCATCCGCCGTCGCTTCGCCCCAGGTTCTTCGAGGAGCAGCGGGTCGTCTCCGGGCTCGACCTCGATCTCTTCGTGGTGCCCATAATACACGTTTTCGGGGATGATGGCGCGCTGCTGCGGCGTAAGGCTCATGCGCCACCGCTGCGTTCTCTGCTGCAGCTCGTGCGTCACGGAGATGGAGGAGGCGCGGCGGCGTTCGGGCGGGATCGGCGTCGCGGCGAGGCGGCGCGCCTCCGCGGCGCGCAAGGCTTCCGCGGTTGGAAGGGCATCCGTTGGCGACTTGCCGGAGGGACGGGGCGTGCGCCCAGAGGACGCGTTACTCTTGCGTCGCGGACGGGGAGTGGAGTCGGCATCGTCGGGCGCCTGTTTGGAGCGGCGCCGGCTGACGGATTCGCGAGGTCGAGCGGCACTTGGCGTGGGCTGTGTGCGGCGCGCCTTGACGGCTGGCTGCGGCGGGACCTGTCATCAGTGGATTTCGCAGATGGGAATCACCTGGCTTGCTGGAGTGGGTGTTCCAGCGCAGCGACGGCCGAGGCCGCGCGGACCGACGAAGTGCGGCGCGGGCGCGAATTCGGGCTCGGGCCCGTCGCTGCCGAACAGGCTCGACGTTGACGGACCGGCGAGGTCGGAAGGCGGCGCGATGTCACCGATGCGCGTCTCGTCCTCCGGCATCGTCCAGACCGTGGTCACATCGGCGCTGCGCCGCGAGACGCCGGACGCGGCCTCGAGCGCGGTAAAGCTCCGGGGGAGCTTGGGTGGGGGGTCGTCAGTAACTTTGCCTTTTGCGCGCGGTCGTTTGCCGCGCGAAGGACGCGGCGAGGCCAGAGACGGTTGGGTGACGTCTCGCACCATGATGGTGCGAGGCGGTTAGGTGGACAAGGGTATGGGTAGTGGTGCTTGCAGAGGATATCAAGAATGGGATAGACAGGCAAGAGGGGATAGTTGCTCTGGAGTCGATGTGTCGAGTACAGAAGAAGATGATGGTGAACGGATCGAGGTGACCCTCCACACGAGGCCACAACAACAACACGGTCCTGCCTGGTGGGTAGAAGAGGTAGAAGGGGGGGAAGGGATAAGGTTTGTGGGTTAGTCACGTGACCAATGCTCATGGTTTGTATGGGAAGGCTGGGGGAGGCCTGTGATTGGCTGATGAAAGTGATTTGGATGTCGTTTGGGGTGCCTGGAATGGCTACTGTAGAAGAGGGAAGGGGCAGAGGGTGATTGAGCGCCACGGATGATTTGGCGCGCCTCTTGTGAGTGACGCATTCTCCATTCTCCCTCTTTCTCTCTCCTCGCCACCACTCTCTCTCCGAGCAACACCTCTCTCCTCCTCGACACCACTCCCAACAGTCTCCTCTTCGTCTCTCTCTCTCGCTCTTGTACTCTTGTACTCTGCCCCTACGCAACCCCCGCTCCCATCCCCACCCTCCACCCCTCCACCCAGCAACCAACTCACCTCCACTTGCCTTTCCCCCCAATCCCCCCCCCATCACTTCCACAGCTCCATCTCATCTCCTCCTCCTCCTCCCTCAACACTCCCCATCCCATCCATGTCCGAGCAGGAAAAAGCTGCTCGCGATCGCGACGCTGCTCGAGGTGCGTTTCATCACACTCCACACCGCTAACTTCTTTCCCCAGACCCCGCACCACCACGCTTCCCTCACTCTGGTCCCTCAGGTCCCCGGCCAGACCCTCCCCCTCCGTCATCCTCGGGGCCTCCTCCTCAGTCACAGCCATCCGCACCCCATCATCACCACCACCACCATCACCACCACCACCACCGCAGCATGTCCTCCCACTCGGCTACTGGCGCTGACCGTGCCGGGCCCGATCGCCCCACAGGCGGCCCTCCCGGCTCTGTTTCGGCCCACGAGGCGAGCCGCGTGCCTGGATCGGGGTTATCTTCGGCGTACCCTGTCCTCAATCCGTATACCTCGGGCGCCTCACAGGGCCCCGTTCGCCCACCACCTCCCATCCTCGCAGGCGGCTCTTCTTCATACACTGGCTTTGGCTCGTACATCTCGGACAAGCAGCGCGACCGCGACCGCGACCGAGTTCGACAGATGGAAAGGGACCGCGATCAGCAACAGCACCAGCAACAGTTGCAGCAGCAGCAGCAGCAGCAGCAGCAGCAGCAGCAGCAGCAACAGCGCGATAGGCGCGACAGCGGCCCCCAGCCGCCCTCGTCCAAACCCTCTGGCCCCGACACCTCCCCAGGACGCCCTCCCAACACACAGCAGCCGTACGGGTCGCGCAATCTTCTCTCAACGTCACCTACTCTCTCGAGCAGGCCCAATCCTGGCCCACCGCCATCCTCGTCGGCAGCCTCAAAGCCTCCCGCCCCCATGCCCCCTTCTTCGGCCTCGCTCGCTTCTCGTCCCGGCGTCAGGCTGCCTGCCTTTTCCACCCTCGGTTCACGACCACTCGGAGCACCTTACGACGGACCCGGCGGTCGCGCACGCTCCGGAAGCACGTCAAGCGTTGGCACACCGGCCGGCGACAAGCCTCCTCCTTCCAGCGCCCATCACCGCAACCTCTCCGCCAGCAGCAATCCCCGTGGCGACACAGGTGGACTGCCTCCCATGAGTCAGACAAGCCCGATCAAGTCCAACGCCCCACCACCTCCCTCTGCAGCGGGGCGTGGTCTCATCGGCGGACCACCTCCCCTCCCAGGCGGTGCACGCGACCCTCCCCAGCGCTCGCCCGTGCAGTCCACCGCTTCGATTACGACCTCGCCGCAGCAGCAGACGCGCGAGCCGCCGGCTCCTGCTGGTGGCGCCAAGCCCACGGGCGCAACGGCGACGTCCGCATCACAGCGCCCACCTTACTCGAGTTCTTTCAGCTCGACGTATGCGTCAGCGTACACACAGCCGTACAGCTCATATGGCCTCGGTAGCGGTTTCTTGGGCAGTGGGACTGGCTACCAGTTCTCTTACACGCAGCAAGAGCGCGACCGCCGTGAACGCGAGCAGCGTGAACGTGAACGAGAGAAGGAGCGCGACCGCGAGCGTGACAAACAGAGGGAGGTAGAGCGTGAGCGTGAACGAGAACGCGAGCTCGCAGACAGGCAGCGCCGCGAGCGCGAGATTGAGCGCGAGCGTGCCGCTGCCGCTCAACTTCAGCGAGACCGCAAACTCGACGCGGAGCGAGAAGATCAACTCCGTTTGGAGCGCGAAAAGGAGCGTCGCCCTGGCTTTGGTGTGCAAACTAAGCCTTTCCAACCTCCGCGCTCCGAGCCGCATCCATACAACGACATTTACGGCCGCTCTCGCGCCCCTCCTGGTGCGCCCTCCATGCAACAGCCCTCCATAAGCGAGAACAAGTACACGAGGACAATCGAGGTCATCAACCGTCCCAGCGAGCACCCAGCCGACCGTCCCAGCGCGCCGGCGCCAGCGTCGGCATCGGTGTCTGCGCCCCCGCCAGCTCCATCGGCCCCTCCTCCATCCGCTCAGCCGGCTGCTGGGCGGGAGAGGCCGTACAGCTACAAGCCGCAGGAGACGCGTGACCATCAATACCAACCCCGAGATGTCAAGCGTTCGCGCATGGACCAGGCTATCGAAGAGCAACAGGCGGCAGCGGCTGCTGCTGCTGCTGCTGCTGCTGTCCAGATTCAGGCCCCAGCGCCGCCCGCGCCGCCCGCAGCCGCTGCTCCTCCCCCTGCTGCTCGCCGCACAGCTGCAGGTGGTAGTCGTGCAAAGAAGCGCAAGGAGGACGAGAAGAAGCCACCTGCCCGCGATTGGTCGCAGCTCACCACGGCCATCAAGACCTGGCCCAAGGTCTCGAGTGCGCCCGTCGAAACCTGGCTCGAGAACAAGAGCAGCGATATCACACAGCGCATTGTGGGCCGCGACGTTTATCGCGGAGAGAACTGGTCGCTCGCTCAGACGTCGTTGTCAATGGAGGACTGCGTGGGTGGCGTCGCAATCATCCGCTTCAGCGGTGCTTTCCTTGGCTCCAAGTGGAAGGTTCGCGGCGAGCCCGGATGGGATGAAGCGAGTACGGAGCCTGTGCATCTCCCGGGCGAGCGCAAGATCTGGGGCACGGACGTCTACACGGACGACTCTGATCTGGGGCTCGTCCTGATCCATGCAGGGTGGATCAGGTGGGGCGGCACGAGCACGTACGACAATGACGCTATCAATGTGACGGTGCGCATCGTGCCGACTCTCGTGCACTACACAGCTACGGAGCGCAACGGCGTCACGACCCGCGGGTGGGGCAACTCGCATGATGGAGCCAGCATTGTTATCGAGGGTGTCGAGCGCATTCGCCTCGACAAGTTTAGCATGGGTAGAATCCCACAGTTCAAGCGCCGCAAGATGGCTATGGTCGAAAGAGCGCTCCAGGCTAGCGCACTGAAAATGTACGCGCCCGCGCCAATCGACCTCGAGGCGGCCGCTGGTGTGCTCTTTGAGGACAGGTTGAACACGCCTAAACCCCGCCAGTACCCCGCTCTCTGGGACCAGGAGGTGAAGCTCATTCGCGGGCAGTTCGTTGCCGACTACACGCCTGAGGCGATGGCGTCGTACCTCGATCTCCCGGGCGACGATATTGACGAAGGCTCGCCGAGTCTCTGGACGCACGACCTCTACTTTGGCAACAGCAAGGAACGGTGAGTGGGACGTTTGGCATGTCTGACCCCAGGTACCGCGTTGAGCTGAGCACCACCGCGCGCGGCGCACCGCGCCTGCACGTCTCATGGACCAAGGCTGCGGCCAATCCCGAGGAGTGGGCCGCGCCCGATGACCTCGCAAGCGACGTTGATCCCCGCAGGGTGTACTGGGCCGAGGAAGGGATGGCGATCTCCATGGAGCGTGAAGGAGACGACTTCGTGGGCGTGCTGTGCCCAGCGCAGGTTTACGGCTGGCAGATTCGCGCCAAGCCCGTCGCTCAGACCGTGGACGAGAACGAGGAGCTTCCTCCCAAGAAGCCGTCCAGCAAGTCATCCCTCGAGTCGCCGGTGAAGTCGCCCGCACATTCGCCCGCACATTCGCCCGCCCAGTCGCCCGCTCAGTCGGAGAACAGAGACGCGATGGACGTGGATTCCAAGGAAGCAGTCGCAGCTTGAATCCGCTAGATAGTGCATCCGTCCTCCGCAACATGTATCTGTATTGATTCCAGGTGTCGCTGCTTCCATGCGAGCCACCGGACAAGCTATCATAACATTACTGACATCTGACTACTCTGCTGCGGTATACTGCCCCGACCCTGCATGCGATCTTTCTCTTCCTACTGGCTGCCCGACGCGGCCCAGAGCGCGCCCACGAATGTGAGGATGAGACGTGGGCGGACCTCGACAATGTCCTCGGGCACGAGGAAGATGAGTGCGCCGAGCTTGCGTGCAATGGAGATGGCGAGCTTTGCGTTGAGGCGCTTGTCCTCCTCGGCATTCGAGTTGGACACGAGCGAGTAGTCGACAATGCCGGGCTTGACGCCGTTGAGGAGGTCGAGGAAGAAGACGGCGTTGCTGAGGCTCGGGTCCTTGAAAGAGCGCATCGTGCTGCTCTTGCCGCCCTTCTTGACCGTCTCGTTGGCCCAACGCACCATGTCCTGGTCCGTGACGGCGCGCCCGCCGCGGCTGAGCTGTGCGAGCGTCTGCGTGATGCTGATGCGCATGAGCTGCCACACGAGGCCGAGCACGAGCGTGCGCGTCCCGTCGACAATGTCCGAGCCCTGGATGCCGACAAGGTGCATCCCGTTCTGCTTGCCCAAGTCGACGGCGTAGTTGGTGTTCTCGACGGCCTTGAAGCGCGACAGTTCCTGGCCCTCCTTGGGCTTGCTGACCCGCCGCCAGATGACCGAGCCGGGGATGACCTTGTCGAAGGCCTGGAGAAGGACGGTGCCGTCCTGGGGTCAGCGTGATTTCTTGCTTACCCGGCAGCGGCCATTGTCTCACTCACTTTCAGGTCCTCGAACAGGTTGTATACTCCCGGGTCGACGTCCAGCGAGTTGAGCCAGAGCGTAAAGACGCGCGCCTCGCGCTCTCCTTCAGCGTCAAAGTCCTCGATCTCAGGCGGCGCCTCGTCCTCGTCAAGCGGGTCGAGGCCAGGCCACGTGTTGAACAGGTGCGCAACGAACGCGAGGTTGAGCTTGGGGTTGCCGCTGACCATACCGTTCGGGGTGAGGAAGCGTCGGCACCCGATACGGTCGGCACCTTGCAGAACTTCCTCTGCGCGCTGGTGCAGGTCGCGCGTCTGGAGAGGCGCCTTGGTGCACTCGTCTGGACGCAACTGGTTGAGCAGGATGGTGTAGTTCTCGCCGTCCGACACGTCCTTCGTGAAGTTCTCGACGCTGGTGTGAGCAGGAGGCCTCGGGGTTGAACTCACCGGCGGTGCCAGTTGGCAGCCTTAAGGTGGTAATTGAACCATCGGAGGAGGATCTGGTCAGGAGGAAGGCGAAGGAACTCCTCCATCGTCTCTCCATCCTCGAGGAGTCGGTACATCTCGGGGTGGAGCTTGATGTCGATCTTTGCCAGGAGACCACGGCGAATGATCTGCCAGATGAGGCCGAGGATGAGGTGCTCGCGGCCCTCCTGGATGTCGCTGGGACCAATGTTGACAACGGAGCAGCCAATACCCTTGGATGACGAAATGACGATGTTGTTGTTTTCCGTCATCTGGAAGGCGTTCAGCTGCTTGCCCTTCTTGGGCTTGTTGAGGACACGCTCATCGATGGTGTCGGGAACTGAGTCGTTGATGAGCTTGCAGAGAATCAGACCATCTGATGTCAGTCGCGAACGAAGCGGGCCGTCGGGCCACTCTGGGACATGGGAGGCGCACTCCGGGCGTGGGGAGGCAGGGACATGACGTCCGCGACCGCCCTCGGGGATCATCGACCCTTCTCACGCCAGCGCTGGTACTCACCCCGCACCTCGTCGAACAGCTGCATCGTGTCGGTCGGAATAGGCAGGAGGTGCCCAACGTCTGGGTCGCCTCCCAGGACGCCGTTGATGTGGTCGGTAAACGACGTGCGCTCATCTTCGTTGATGGTGTGCTTGGTCCCCGTGCCGGCTGTGCCCTTGACGGCGATTCGGCCCTTGTTGGAGGTGATTCTGGCATGAGCTGGAGCAACAGGCAGCGGGGGAGGTGGCCAGCAGTCCAGCAGTTAACCCAGCTGGGCAGAGATTCCGGCAAGCCGGGTCCCCACGAACGGAGCACTGCTTGCCGCAGCTCGAGACCTACACTGGCTGGTTCTTGCTTGCGCGCAGCAGCGAGTGCAGCTGCACCCAGTCCTCAACCGCGACCTTGCCGGACGAATCGACGTCGACGTGCTTGAGCGTTTCACGGGCCTGGGGTCAGTGGCTATCCTCTCGTCATTTTCATCCGCTTCATCTCGTTCATCTTCCTCGTCCTTCCTCTGTCGACCCCCCGCTCACCGCCCCTCCCTCTCCTCACTCCCAATACTACGCACAGAGTCGTAGTCAGCGTCGCCGCTCTGCTGCAGTGCGGAAATCACAGTCGCCTTCTCGACGCCGCCGTTTCCCTCGATGTCGATTTGGTGGAAGCGGTTGATGAGGTCCAGGATCTCCTCCTGCTTGAACTCGGGATACTTCTTGCTCAGCTTGAGCGCCTGCATGATGGCGGCGGGGGAGGGTGGGTGATGATGGAGGGGGAAATGGATGATGAGAAGAAGATCGACGACGATGCTTGGCTCGAGGGGCGATGCCACTGCGCAGGGGGGAGCATGCGTCATGCCAAAGAACGCATCATCAGCGGAGGTTTTCTCGCGTGGCAGCGCGTGGTATTACGTGTGCAGGAATGGATCTGGGAGTAATGATATTCCACAGATTCGGGTCAGACAGATAATAAATAAATAAGGGTGACATTGGCATGAGCAGCGAAATTGGCTTGCTGCCTAGACTTCAAGTACTAAGCCAGTGGGCAGATGTCCATCGACTGCCCTCTGAGTGAGCGCGGGAAAGGGACGGCCTGTGTTATGCCACCATACCCCTAGTCCTAGCGGTGTTCGCCGGCGCCAGCAGTCAAACTCGATCTACATGCAGACGGGGATGAACGCTCGCGCACCTCGTGGCGCTGCACCGCGCCGCGCCGCCCAGATCATCCCTCTGCGCCTTATACGCGCGCCACCGCACCCGACTCTCCACCCGCTGCCGCTTCCTCTCCCGCGCCGTCCGCAGCGGCTCCAACCTTGTCCACCAGTAAGGCCCGCACTCCTCCGTGCTCCTGCTCTCCGATCTCTGGGTTGCCAGCGCGTCCATGAACGCCCGCCGCCGCTTTCGCTTGCGCCAGCGCCTGCCGCGGTCGGCATCGGCGCGGTCTAAGGCCACGATGCGGCGCAGCTTGCGCAGGCCCCGGCCGCGTGGGGATACGGGCGGGATGTGGCGTGAGGTCGGGAGGTGCCATGGGCAGATGGAGCGGGGATCGACGTTGGACCGGAGTAAGGGGACCGAAGGCGGTGCGTCCGGGAATGTCGGGAGCCACTCGATGAAGTCGGATGAGGACGAGGGGGCTGGTGATGGCTGCGAAAGTTCGGGCACCGGCGCGAAGTTGTCCATCGCATTTGTGTCTCGGTGTTCGCCTTGTTCTTCCCGTCGTTCTGCGCAGCGTTGTCTGTCTTGTTCTTCGCCTCGAGCGCCGGGCTCGACTTCTTTCTGCTGGTCCAGTCGTGGTCCGTTCAGCTCGCGTTCCCAGAATGGATCTAGCTCGAAACTGAGAACGTCGTTGTCGGTTGGCGGATGCTCGTTAGGGAGCACAGGAATGTCCGACTCGCTAGGACACGCCGAAAGGGGACTCGTAAACACAGTGATGTTCCGTTCTCCGGTCTCTTTGTCCGCTTCCGAGGAGCTCGCCTGGATAAGTGGGGAGGGATGGCGCGGGGTTCGCGGCCTACGGCTCGCGTCGTCTCTGTCTGATTCCGAAGAGCTTGCGGTAGCTAGGCGTCGGCGGGGCGGGGGGCGTGGCGTGCTGCCTCTCGTATCCTCCGTATCAAATGAAGAGCTCGACTCGACGGTCCGTCGGGGCGACCGGCTGCTGCACCGGGTGGCCGTCTTCGTGTGAGGCTCAACTCCCTGCTCGCTGCGAGACCGCTGCGCGCTCCTCTTCCTATGCTGGACATTGCTCGGGCGAGCGGATCGTTTCCGCTTCCTCGACACCCCCGCCTCGTCTCCCGAGCCTCTGCTTCTGCCCTCCGACGGCGCGTACTCGCTATACACAGGCGACCGCGGCGCATCAAACGCCTCGTAAAAATCCTCATCCTCCTCTCTGCTCGGCACGGACGGGCACTCGCTGGCGTCAGCCGTTGCGCGCGCACCCACCATTCCGGCCGCCCGTCCCAGTGCTCTACGACCAGCTCTTCGTTCGCGCGTATCCTTCGCGACGCCTTGACAGCGTCGGCAGACACACCGTGCGGGAGGCCGCGGCGCGCGCCGGCAGCAGCAACGCAGTTCGCGCACGCTCGACACCCGACGCGGAGGTATCGCGTCGGGCCGAGCCAGAGTGCCACGGGCTGCGTCAGCGGTTCTCTCGAGAACTTACGATATGCCCCGTAGCGTTCCACGCGAGGAAGCGCGACGGGCCGACGACGTCGCGGTCGAGCGCGTCGAGCGCGCCCGGACCCAGGTCGAACGTGAGGTTTTCGAGGCCGCGGATCGTCTCGCGCCGCCCGACGGGTTCGCGGACGCCCACCGTCAGCCGGCCGGCGCGGACGGCGAGGCGCGCGTTCGACGAGCCGCTCGTGAGGGAGGTGTAGGCTGTCAAGAGGCTGAATTAGTAGTAGTGCTGCGAGGCACGTACCGGTCGAGAGCGGCGTTCGGTGAGCCGTAGTCGACAAAGCTGGGATTAGCGCGCGCGCGCACACGCACATCTCGTTCAAGGCTTCGTCGAGCTGCGGCTCTTGCATGAGCGGCGTGGGGAGGTTGTGCTCGAATCCGACGGGCCGGTCGGCGACGGGAAGCACGCGCTCGAGGAGCGAGCGCATCGCCTGGTCGAGGCGCCAGAAGGCGTTGACCCTGTCGATGGGTAGAGGGTCTTTTCCCGTCATGGCGAGGTGAGTACGTTAGGTATGCTTAGGGGAGTGAGTGGAAGTGTAAGGATGTGGAGGGCGATTTTGCAGACGTCCGTGCACACGAGTTTGGCGCCCCCAGCGATGAGGGCGCCAACGCACTTGGAGGGCGCGATGTCGCTGGTCGCCGAGGCCACGGCGATGGTTACATTGATGAGTGATGGATCAGGCGATCATGACAAGTTTGTTAGACGCAGATGGCTTGCGCATAAGTTGGCCTTGAATTAGAGCCGGAGGAACCACCCCGGGCCGTGCCTGTCCCGAGAATGGATGAGACATGAGACACGACATGAGGCTTGCGATGTGACAAGTCGTGGGAGGCCACTGCCAACGTCAGAACGTCGGTCTCGCTGGTGGAGCTGTGACGCCTCCGTCGTCTTGTTTAACAGACTCGAGCGCAAGTAAGCAGGCCAGCTGCGGAATGCCGTACGAGATCGGATCTGGCACGACCCTCTGGTTTTTGCGCGCGCTGTCCACGCACTGCTGACCCAAGCGTGTCACAGCTTGTCGCTGGCCACGCCTCTGCGACGGCCTACTGAACTGTGCACTGGTGTGCCGTCTGAGAGAGCTTACGGCAGACATATTCACATGCCATCTCAGAGCTCGGCACCATGTTTCAAATGGCCAGGCCCGCAATGGCCCCATCAAAGTCCGGGAGTCTTCTCGGGTACCCACAGCTTTTGGGTGCGCGGATGTTGCATGCTCAAACGCATAGTCAGGCCAGTTCAGTTGCTGCAACTGGACCACTGGAGCCGGAGCTAGAGCCGGCGCTGGAGCCGTAGTTGGAGCTGGATCAAGTCTCCCTGGATATCAAATCCAAATGAGTCGCTGGCTCGTTTCCCGCTATTTCCAAGGGACGTGGGACGTACCGAGGTCCCACGAGACACACGACACGCGTCGCGTCGACGCGTCGGGCCCACATTTGCACTGTCGCCTGTAGACCGGTAGACCCGATCCCGTGCGCCTCCCATTCAACAGCCCCCTCATGGCCCTCATGCCTCCCGATCCCTTGCATTCATCTGCCGGGCAGACGGAACTGCGCTATGCACAAGGCTTAGAGGTAGCGTTCCTCTGGAGTTGAGTTTGACGGAACAGCGCCAACACGTGAATTGTTGTTGCTACGCGTCGACGCTGTAGTATCGTCAGCCAAAATATGCTGACGCGAGGTGAGCCTGGCAAGTGGACCGGGAGGGTCGCGCTCCGCCCGTGCCGTCCACGCCGATGGCCCAAGGTTAAACAGGATGCAGGATGGAGGATTGCAGGAATTGCAGGACTTGGAGGCATCGTGGTGGTCTGTGGTGAGCGCTGGAGGCAAGCAGGGATGAGTGGTGGGAGAAGCGATCGTAGTGCAACGTGACCAGATTGTAATGAAGGGGGAGCAGGGACGAGTTGTAATGAAAGTGTACATAGTAGTATAGGTGTGCATTAGACGAGGGACTGTTTCAAATACAGAGTGCCTGTTTAATATGCCCTGCAAACCATGTTCTGGGTGGAGCAGGGGGAGGGGTAGCGCCGACTGCCCTTGCCTCTTCCCCCCACTCATCGTCGTCGCTCTCATTCTCTCTCCCACTCGGTCCACTCGTCGCCGCCATCATTCCCCTCTTGTTCACTACCTCCCTCTCCCTCTCCCCCACCCCCACCGCCCCCCTCTCTCACCCTCCCCCTCCTCCTCCTTAATATCCACATAATCTATCTACACCTCACGCCCACCCCCGTCCACACTGAGACGACCCCCCACAACGTGCCACAACGCACGCACGCTCGCACGCACGCCCTGTCCAACGCCCACCCCCCTCTCTCCCGTCCAACCCACCTACAGTCGTCCAACTCGTCAGCAGAACGCACAATCATCCATCGACTCTCCTCCTCGCCGCGTCACCTCCTCCTCCCACCCCTCGGCCCTCCTCCCCCCCGCTAATCCCACCGCCAATCTCATCCAAACATCTTCCACTCTCCTTGTCCGAGTCGTCCTCCCTCCCTTCATCCTCTCCATTGACTTTGATCCAACTGCTCAACTTTACACATACCCAGTCCCACTTGGTCCACTACTCGACACCAGCATCGCCAGCTGCCCATTTTACTCCACAGCCATCAATCTTGTCCCTCTCCGGTCACCTTGGCCTCGCATAACCTCATTCTGATCTCCCCCCCAAGCTTCCATCGCTTCCCATCGCAGTTACTCTCTCCCCAACTTGAACTCGCGCGCCACGCAAGTAACCGCCTCTCACACGAGTCAATAACGGACAGCAGCAGCAGCAGCAGCAGCAGCAGTACACGCTCGAGGATCTATCCCCGGCATCATCCCATCGTCGCGTGATACCCCTCTCGCCTTCCCCGTTCACCCCAGTCGTTGGGTGCGTGCCCCTGCCATTGACGTAGCTGACCTGTAGATGTGACAACACGCCCGCACGACAATGATACCTCAGGCGACCTCGCGAGCCGCCGCCAGTCCAACTCCACCAATCCTCAACACACCTGGCGGCCCAGCAGCACACCTTCGGTCTGCCCACACGCCCGTCGCTTCACCAAGGGAACATGCCAGTCCTGGCAGCCCACGACACCAGTCTGGCACTATCGACGTTGATTCCATGCTCCGCAGCCACGGCGGCGACTTGCGACGCACTCTCGACTCTGTTGTCGGCGAGCGAAACGCATTGGTAGGTTCACACTCCACCGTCCTCGCTAACTCTGGCAGCAAGCCCAGAACACACAGCTATGGAAGTTGATCGAGAAGCAGCGTTCGCAGTGCGCGCACCTCGCCGCAGACAACGACCGACTGCGCGCAGATCGTGAGCGCGCCAATAGCCGTTTGATCGCAGCCGGCCTCGAGCCGATCCCTGCAGGCAATCGGCGAGGGGGCGTTCCTCACAGCCAGAGCGCCATGACGATTGCCTCGACGTCCGCCTCGGACCACCGTAGGGGCTCAGAGAACGACGTCCCCTCCGCCAGTGTCACGAGATCTGGCTCGACGTCGACAACACTCGACCGCGTAGCTGCGGAGCCCTCAGGACTGGGACCTTCCGCGTTTCCCCAGGACGACAGCCCTACTCCATCCGCCCTCCTTCCTTCGCCAATGTTTGACAGAAGACTGAGACACGAGAGCCAAATGCAGTTTCCGCCCGAAGTCGCATCGTTCATGGCTTTGGCGGAGAAGGAGCCGTCATCAGGGCCCTCGATACACGGAGGCAGCAACAGCATGAATAGCCTCGCCGGGCATGCCGAGCAGCACTCGCCATATACATCGAGCCCAAGTGACAGCCGGCGCGCGTCGCCCATCCCAGAGGCGTCTGAGGAGCTGGCCTCCATACACCGCGCCACCTCGCCTCGGATGTCGCAGGATACGGTGACGTCCAGTCGCCCCTCCATTTCTCCGGTCGTCGGCAACGAACCGAGGCCTTCTGTCGACTCCAATGCCCCTGTTCCCCCCACAATCGTCAGCCCTCCTCCCCCCGATCACGCATACCTCACACCGGCCCTTCTCCCTCACGCCCGCCTCTCCATTCCCCACTCGACCATTATTCCCAAAGACCGTGGTCGTGATGTGCTGTGCTTCATCGTTGCGGTTAACATCCGGCCGCCTAACGCCCACCCCTTGAACTGGACTGTCGCCAAAACGTTCTCGGCGTTCATGGACCTCGACCAGCGCTCTATGGAACGCTCGGGCAAGAATCGCAAGGAGTGGAAGCGCCTCGTATCTCCTCTTCCCGAAGGCAAGGCGTGGAAGGACTTTGCCCCGAGCAAGATTGACCAGCGCAAGTCATCTCTGGAACACTACCTTCAGTCGCTGCTTGTTGCACCTGTGAGCGACCAGACCGATCTCGTCAACTTCCTCGCGAGCGACATAGTACAGCAAAAGTCAAATCGCAACCGCAAGGAGGGATATCTGTCCAAGAAGGGGCAAACCGGCTTCCGCGGCGCGGCTTGGAAGACGCGCTACTTTGTCCTCGACGGGTCGAGCATGAGGTACTACGAGTCGCGCGGCGGACAGCTCCTCGGGCAAATAAACCTGCTCGGCGCCCAAATCGGCAGGCAACACCGGTCGGCCGATCAGGCCGAGGACAAGAACTCGCGATACGCGTTCTTGATTCTCGAGTCAGCGAGGAAGGAGTCGTCGCAAAATCGACATGTGTTGTCAGCGGGTAGTGATGCTGAGCGTGACGAGTGGATCGAAATGCTCAAGCGCCAGGTAGTACCTCCTCCCGCGCCGTCTGCGGTTGTGACACCACCACAGCAGACGCCTCCGCAGCAGCAGACCCCACAGCAGCAGCAGCAACAGCAGCAACAACAGCAACAGCAGCAGCAGCGGCAACAGCAGCAACAGCAGCAGCAGCAACAACAACAACACCAACACCAACAGCAGCAGCAGCAGCAGGTGCCCGAAACCACGATCACTCAGGCTACTCCACCCGCATCAATCGCTAGCTCAGGCAGTGGAGGCGGCCCTCGCGAATGTGGGCATCAGAGAAGACGCTCAGCAGTGCGCAAGTCGAGCAAAGACGTTGTGGTCACGTCAGCCCAACCCATGTCGCAGCTGCCCGACGCAAACGCCAAGTTTATCTCTGGTGCGCCGCTCCCCAGCGTCATCAACCACATGGAGTCTCAACGTCAACAGAACTACGCTGGTGCACCGCAGATCACGGGCACGTCGCCGCAGAACAGTCAGGGTCACCCTTTGGCTGCCGTCAGCAGCATAAACTCGACACTAACAGTCAATTCGGACCTTCTCGCGCCCCTCGAGCTCACGTCCAAGCCGACGAAGCGCCAGAGCGCCCTGCCCGGTCGCCAATCGTTCTCCCCTGCTTATCTCAAGCAGCTGGCTAATGATGGCGTGTCCCCTCCCGGTGCAGGTCTCAACTTTGAGCGTGACCGCGACCGCAAAGCTAAAAGTGGCCGCTTCTGGGGATTCGGCAAGACCGTTGAGAAGCCGCCCTCCAAGCCCGTATTTGGCGTGCCCCTCACTGACTCGCTCGCCATTGCGCAGGTCGCTGGTCTTCCTGCCATTGTCTTCCGGTGTATTGAGTACCTCGAGGCCAAAAATGCCGAGCAGGAGGAGGGCATCTACCGTTTGAGCGGCGCATCGGCTGTCATCAAGGGTCTCAAGGAGCGCTTCAACTATGAGGGCGACGTTAACCTCCTCGCGCAGGACGAGCGTTGGGACCCTCACGCGATCGCTGGACTGCTCAAGTCGTACATGCGCGAGCTGCCAACTAGTCTGCTCACGCGTGAGCTGCATGGCCGTTTCCTGGCCGTGTTTGGTGAGTTAGTAATGAAAACGGCGCTGACAAACAGACTTGGTTGACCCCTCTGCTCGCGTTGTTGAGCTCTCGCGTCTCGTCGCTGAGCTGCCACCTGCCAACTACGCACTCCTACGCGCGTTTACCGCCCACTTGATCCTCATCGTGCGCAACTCTTCCATCAACAAGATGACACTGCGCAACATTGGCATTGTCTTTTCGCCCAGTCTGGGCATTCCTGCGGGCATCTTTTACGAGCTCGTGTCGAGATATGGCGCGATCTTTGACGACGATGGGATAGACGAGCTGCCCCTCGATGACCCGGCTTTCGCAGGCACAGCTGTCGCTTCCGAGGCACAAAGGCAAAGCTCGCCGACTGCTCTTGACGAGACGGCCAAGAGCAAGCGCAACTCTGTCCTGTACCACGCAGGAGGGGCTGACGCCATGCTCGGTCTAGGGGGACGGGCTCTTGACCCTGCCACCGAGGACTCAAACTCGGAGGTGAGCATTAGCATAGATGACCTCGAGTCGGAGCCGGCGTTGTCTGCGCCGAGCAGCGACAATCTCTCGCTCGCGGCTGCGCCGGGGGCCGGCGCGGGCCGCCGGGACCTGTACAGCCCACGTAACGACGAGGTTGAGGCGCTTGCCCACAACCACAACCACAACCACAACCACAACCACAATGGGCATCCTTGATCGTCGCTCGTCGGACCGTCATATTTTCGTATTACACAATCACACGCACACACCTTATAGTTTTGACGGGGACGGGGAGACGGGAAGACGGGCTAGGAGGGACGAGGTTGGGACTACGACGTAGGGACATTAGATGTCACTGCTGCTTATACTGGATACAAGTGGGGCGTGACTCACTCACGTGATGATTTCCACGTGTGAGGTGGTATGTGGGTGAATCAGATAGACCCGACACACCGTACACCAGGGGCAATGTGCCGGGTGCCAGGGTAAGCAAGGCGAGACGCGAGACGTGTCCTTTCTGACAAATGACCCTGTGGTCTCGCCTCTCAAGTCCACGAGTCGCCACCCACTTGCCTGATTGTCTAATCGTTCCGCCCTCGGACTCGCGCGCTATGCACAGATCACACGCTATATGTAGAAAAACAAAATCCCTCATGCCGTGCCGGACACGGAGAGGGGGTGTTTATGGAATTGTGGAGGATGATGGAGGAGGAGAGCGGAGGGAGCAAGACGCGCATCCGCGTTCCGCGACGCCACCCCCTGCCTCTGCCTCGCATTGTTGTCAGAGGCAAAGGCAAAGGCAAAGGCAATCCGCGCGCCGTGTTCCATCATCCAGCATCCATCATTCATGCTAGACGGTCTACTAGCATTCAAAGAGCTATCACCGTGACTCTTTCACTTTTCTCACTCACGCCGTCACTCGCTCTACAGTTGCACAGCTTTCAACCTCGACCTCGAGCTGGACTGTGTGGTGAGTGAGTAGCCACCCCGCGTGTGTCACCTGGGTGACCCGAGACGAGACGTGTTCCTGAAGGCACCTGATCACCTGAAGACCTGAAGAAGCAAACGGCGACAATCAACACTTGATCTCCCACACGCGATCAGACACACCTCTCTTTCTCTCTACTGTACTGTAAACACGCTCAACCCAGTAACTCTATTCCACAACTCTCTTGTCATCTTTCCATCTCTACAGTATACTCGCTCATCATCCTCCCCTCTTTCTCATCCCCCCCCCCCTCTTTGGTCACCATGCCACGCTCCCTCCCATCCTCCCCAGCCTCCCCCTCACACCTCACATCCCCCACTCTCAGCGCTCCATCGCCCTCCTCACCCTCCCACTCCCCCTCCCACTCCCCCTCTCCATCCCGCCCCGCCCGCCGCTCCCCTCAGCCTAAAAGCACCCACTCCTCCTCCTCCTCCCTCACCCTCCCCGACGTGTCTCAGGAAGTCCCAGGCATGACCAGCGGCGAGGACACAGACAACCCCGAGCAGACAACACCGCCCCGTCCCGACGTCGAGGTGCTCTATCCGCCTGAGCTCGCGCCCCACGGTGACATAACCACCGACGACATTGCCGCCGACCCCATCCTGCGCGATCTCGCCGAGCACGACAACTTGCGCTACTCGGGACTAGGTCCGCGCCTCAGCAAGTCGGCCGCCCTCCGCATGGGCCTCAAGTGGGAAGATCCACGCGATCACAGACGTGTCAGTGGCGAAGAGGTGCCCGTCAACTTTGACAATGTGCCCGGCCACAAGCGGGTGGGGCTGGCTCTCGTGAGTGACTAGATACGACTGCTACACTGGTGCAAAAGCAGGCTGACGCCAGAACGTGTCATCCCTCGCAGAACCGAGCGTTGCGCCTCGCCTGAATCGAGCGGCAATGTTGCGCGCCGGGCAGCAGCCTGAGGGAGTCGAGGTAAAGGACCGCGCCGAGATGGCTGCGGTCAACAAAGCGCGTGAGGCGGCTGAGCGGGCCGAGCGCCGCAAGTCCTTACCCCGTCCCACGTCACTTCTCCTTCCATCCCAGCTACCGCGTCAGAATCGCGCCGCCCTCCTTCGTGCTGGCCAGACGTTGGAGACCGCGCGACCATACGATGCACGCGAAATGGCTGAGAACGCTGCCCGCAACAAGGCTCGTGAAGCTGCCGAGTACGCTCAGCGCCGCCGCACGATACAGGTGCCCGCAAGTCTGGCTGCCCCCGCAATCGTGAGTGATGCCGAGTGCGAGCTGCTGCTCGCCATTCCTTCTACCCCGCACCACGTTACATCAACAGTCCCTGGCCCCCATCACTACCCCTCTATTCACCTCGCACTAGTGCCCCCCTGGCGATCAGGTTTAGGTTTTCTGACAGTAGCCCCCTCGCGCCAACCGTGCGAGCCTCCTGCGCACTGGCGGCGACGCGCCTCCCCCACGTCCACCTCGAAGCCACATGCGAGCGATATCATCCATGTCCAATGGGTCGGGATCCTCTCGCTCGGCCTCTGGAAGTAGCTTCAAGACCGCGGGGGACCGGGCGCTGGCTGGCAAGATCGAGGCAGCGAACGCGGCGGCCGAGAAGGCCAAGGCTGAGGCAGAGCGCAGGGAGAAGGCGGCTCGGCGACGCCAGACTATGGCTGCGCTGCCAGCGGGCGAAGCGGCTGGACCCGCTGCGCTCACTTACAACGAGGAGAAAGCGGCCGCTGAGCGAGCCGCATTACGCCGTATCGCGGCACAGCGGGAAGAGGAGGCGCGGCGCGAGGCGGAGAAGGCAGCACAGGACCGGGCAGACCGCGAGCGCATCGAAAAGCGCCGGTCAATGACACTCGGCCGCGCAACGGGACTGAGTGCCGCTCACGCCATTAAAGAAGTGCCGGAACCGGAGCCCGAGCCCGAGACGGCGGAGGAGCGTGAGGCGAGAGAACGCGTCTTCCGCCGCCAGACCTTTGGCACAGCGCCACCATCTATGGGCGCCGCACTGGCCGCGCAGCGTGACAGCATGCCCCCTCCTCCCGACCCGCGGCCTAGCAGAGACTCTCTGCGGTCGCTGAACACGCCCGCGGTCCCACCGCGCGCGAACCGCGCCTCGCTCCTGCGCGAGCGGGAGCAAGGCACGGCGCTGACGCGCATCACGTCGACAGCGACGGCCTCGACGCGCTCGCGGAGCGGGAGCACGGCGGCGTCCGAACGCTCAGATGCCGGCATCAAGACGTCGTCGCCGAAACGCGCGCCGGCGCCCATGTCCACGCCGGCCAAGTTTGTCGCGCCGCGCCCGGCGCCGGCGCCCCCGCGCGGACCCGCGACCATCAGCTTTGCGCTGCCCGAGGTCAAGCGCGAGGAGAAGAAGGCAGGGCTGCTCGGCAGACTCTTGAACCGGAACTCGGTGGGCGCGCCGGCGAGCCGGCCGGGCTTGGGGAACAAGCGCGCGAGCGTGATCAGCGCGCCGAGCCCGCAGAACTAGGCGGGCTGCAGGCGGTGGTGGTGGCTTGTTGTAGTAGTGTATGCATTGTTACTATGTGAGCGGTAGTCGGCCAAAGGATACGGTATTTGCAGGCACGGTCATGAGTATATATGGAGTGCCATCAACGCATGGAGGCACAAGCGAGCGACGCGGCCCCATGGTGCCATTCTAGACCTTGGCGGGTAGTCACGCATGCACTCCGGGAAGTCACGACACGGCTTGTACGGCTTCCGCTGTTCCCGCATGGCCACATCGCGCGCTCGCACGCCCGCAGTGCACCATAGCACGCGTCCCTGTTATCAGCCCGGGCCTCAATTGACCCGGGGCTGACCGTATCGCGCGCGCATATCACGCCTCCATCGCGCCACGGATCGGTGGCAAATGGATCGATTCGCTAGTTTCCGCTGGCCGCTGTCCATCTCACCCGTATGACAGTGCATGGGCAATACCATAGCGATGGCCGAGAACGAGCCGGGTTATGCGACTGCGAGCCTGTAGAAGCCTGCAGCTAGTTACTGACAATTGATGCGTCGAGTAGTCGGAACGGGGAGTGAGGTGTATCGGCTGATCGGCTGCGGGGCCTGCGGTGCGGGGGTTATGATTGGACGAGGGGCGGGAGATAATCATCCCCCAAACGCCCCCACGCGGGGTCATCCCGATTGCATCGATATCGGGTTGCATTAGCCAAAGCCAATTAGCCCGGTGGCAATTTCTTAATAGGATATTCGAGGCAGTGCTAATTGATAACCTTATATAGGCTTAAGGAGATAGCCGAACGACGTCATTTGTTCCCGCCCGCCTTCGGCCGTTGAGCGCATCCGCCACCCCGCCACCTTCCTCGGCGAGCCACACGACTCGCGTCGCCCTTCTTAAGAGCGTCCCCCGCTTCTCCATCTCTCCCTCTTATCCAACCTCTCCCAACTCATCTCCTCTTTCTCTCTTTGTATCTCTCTCTCCCTCTCTCTTCCCCGCCACTCTCTAACCCGTGAGACCCGTGAGAATGCGCGTTTCGGCGCTCCTCGCCCTCCTCCCGGCTCTTGCCACCCTCGCCCAGGCTGCCCCCACCGCCTCGGCCGCCCCGCGCAAGTCGCTCTCCTTCGGCCCAACGCACAGCCACGCGTCTTTCGAGAGCTTCCCCGCCCCCGCCGGATTCTCCAAGCGCGACGTAGAGGAAGACCCCAAGCGCGCCGCCGCCCAGTTCATTGCCCACCGCCTCGGCGTCCGCGAAGGCGAGGGCTTCTTCATCCGCGAGGACGTGAGTGCATCCAATCTGCTGTGTGGAGATCGCCGTGGGCATGTGCCGGCGCGGACGCGGGAACGCGGGGACGCGGGGACGCCTAGGGCGTCTGGGTGCAGGTGTTGGGTGGCAAGAACGCGATCGTGTCAGCCGACGCGTTTGCCACCGTGCCACACCCGGTCTCGTGACCTCTCCTCCCGTGCACGCACGTACCGCGCCGCGCCGCGTCGCGCCACCCCTCCCCTCCCCTCTTCACCCACTCCCGCAAACCTAACGCCAGTCATACACCGACCCAAGAACACTCGTCACCCACGTCTATGCTACCCAGCTCATTGACGGCCTCGAGGTCGGAGACGGTAACATCAACGTCAACCTCGACCGTGACGGCAATGTCCTCTCGGTGAGTACCACGTTGTCGCATTGCTCGCGACACTTTGCCACCGGCATCCTGTCGCCATCATCCGCCCTTCCCAATTCCCCTACACATCGCTAACATGTCAGTGGGGCAACTCATTCTACCCCGGCAAGCATGCCAAGCGCGACCTCTCCGACTCGGAGCGCCAGCGTGCCTGCGATGCCCTAGTCACCAAGATTGCAGAGCACCAGGACGCTCTTAACGATGTCATGCCCGACTCGGGTCCCTGGGGCTTCGCCAAGCAGGCCGCCAAGGTCTGGTTTGGCGACTGGATTGACATCGACACCGGTGACGAGGAGGCTGCCCGCCGCATCACCAACAATATGGCCCGCGTCCAGCACCACTACGAGGCCATGTGCAACCACAAGCCGAACAAGAGCGGCCAGTACCTCACCGAGACTGAGGCCCTTGCTTCATTCCTCGCCCGCGTGTCGTCGAACATTGTCGACCCGGAGGACCTCCACGCCACCCCCCAGCACAATCTCAAGCCCAAGCACGCGCCCTCCGAGCCACCTACTATGGTGATCGGTGGCAAGGCTCTCGCCGCCGCCGACGTCCGTGGCACTGTCCCTGCACGTGTCATGTACACTCAGACCGAGGGCGAGCCCCGCATGGTCTACAAGTTTGAGGTCGAAATGGCCGACAACTGGTACGAGGCTTATGTCGATGTCGAGACTGGCGACCTCATCCGTGTTGTCGACTGGGCTCACGACTTCTCCGAGCTTGAGTACAAGGTCCGCAACTCCAAGGACCCCAAGCAGAAGCCCCAGAAGCCGCCCAAGGCACCCAAGGGCGAGAAGTACTCGTACAACGTCTTCCCTTGGGGCGTCAACGACCCACAGGAGGGCAAGACCAAGATCGAGGTCAAGCCTTGGGACAACGTTGCCTCGCCGCTGGGTTGGCACACTTTCCCCACCTCGTCGAACCCTTGGGACCACAAGTTCAAGGGCACGACCAAGGACGGCAACATGACTAGTGTCGCGTCGACCGTCGGCAACAATGTTGTCGCTCACGAGGACTGGGAGGGCCGCAACAACTTCCTCGACAACTACCGCCCTGTCAGCGAAGACTACGTCTTTGTTTACGACTATGGAGAGCCCGACGGCGCAGCGCCCAAGAAGTACATTGACATGGTCGTCACCCAGCTCTTCTACACCTGCAACAAGTACCACGACCTGCTCCACCGCGTCGGCTTTGATGAAGTATCGGGCAACTTCCAGATGTACAACTTTGACAAGGGCGGTCGGGGAGCCGACCCTGTCATCGCGAATGCCCAGGATGGTTCGGGCTACAACAACGCCAACTTCATGACTCCACCAGACGGCACTGCACCCCGCATGCGCATGTACATCTGGGACACTGCGTCGCCTTACCGCGACGGTGACCTCGAGGCCGGCATCGTCATCCACGAGTACTCGCACGGCCTGTCCACTCGTCTGACCGGCGGCCCCGCGAACTCGGGCTGTCTCGGCTGGGGTGAGGCTGGCGGTATGGGCGAGGGTTGGGGTGATGCGATTGCGACCATCATCCGTCAGGTGCACGAGCACAAGGCCTTTGAGAACGGCACCGACATCTACCCGATGGGCGCGTGGGCCGCCAACCAGGAGAAGGGCATTCGCAACTTTGCCTACACGACGAACAGCACTGTGAACCCGTCGACCTACAAGACGCTCGACAAGCCCGGCTACTGGGGCGTGCACGCCATCGGAGAGGTGTGGGCCGAGTTCCTCTTTGTTCTCAACCAGCGCCTGATCGAGAAGTACGGCTTTTCGACCACGCTCTTCCCGCCCGAGGATCCCAGCAAGCCCAACGACTACTACACTAAGGACTCGGGCAAGCTTGACGCCAAGGGCCGCCCGACGCCGCTCGTGCCCAAGCACGGCAACACGCTCGCGCTGCAGCTCATCGTGAGCGCCATGAAGCTCCAGCCCTGCCGCCCCACGTTCTTTGACGCGCGCGATGCCATCATCCAGGCCGACAAGGCGCTGACGGGTGGCGAGAACGCGTGCATGATCTGGGATGCGTTCGCGGAGCGCGGTCTCGGCTCGGACGCCCGTATCGTCGGCCAGACGCCATGGGGCGGCGGTGTGCGCGAGGACGGCTTCAAGGTCCCCTCGACCTGCAAGTAGGCGGCTGCACGCCCGGCGCGCAGGGCTGCGCTCCGGACCTCATCTATACCCATCTTGAATCTGAAGCAATGTTGAAGTCTTGTAGCTGTCTCCTCGCGTCTTGACGTAGAGTATACAAGTGTACAATGTATGTTGAAGTATGCGGAGTTGGGCAAAGGCGTAGGGGCCAGCGGGGTGCATGGGATGGCTTCATGCGCCACCATGGCCACGGCGCACTCGATCTCTGTGCCAACATCTCTGTGCCAACGACCAAGCGACAAGCGCCGCCGAGAGCATGACAGACGGCGTCGGCCAAATCCGTTCACTCAGGCGGAGTCGAGTCACTTGCACCGGTCCACAGCGGCAACTCACGGGCTTGGGGCCAGTCGGCGTCACCGGGCCGGAGCGATGTTGCATCAAGACAAGCATCGAGTGGGCAGACGACATAAATGCGATGCATGATGTAACCCATTCCTCCTCTACTTCTTCCCACCTTGTCTCTTCGCGACCATGGCCTCCCCGTCCCACCGCGACGCCTTGCGCGAGCCACGCTACTCCCGCGGCATCCAGCGCGCGCTGGCGTGCACACCCCACCCCTCAGCCTCGATCGCGGGCTCGACGCGCATCGCGCGCCTCGAGAGCTTTTACGTGCGCCCGCGCTGGCTCTTTGTGCGCATCGAAACGGAGGGCGGCGTCGTCGGTTGGGGCGAGGGCACGCTCGAGGGCCACACCGAGGCGGTGCAAGGCAGCTTGGCGGACGTCGCGCGGCGTATTGTGGGATGGGACGCGATGAACATCGAGGACATATATGCCTATCTTTACCGGCACCGGTTCTACCGCGGCGGCGAGGTGCTCATGTCCGCCATGAGCGGGGTGGACATTGCGCTGTGGTGGGTGTTCCTGCGCCGGGAGCTGACGGCAGGGACATCAAGGGCAAGGTCCTCGGCGTGCCGGTGTGGCAGCTGCTGGGCGGGGCGGTGCGCGAGCGCTGCGAAGTGTATGGCTGGATCGGGGGCGACAGGCCGGCCGACGTGCTCGAGCAAGCGCGGGCGCGCAAGGCGCAGGGGTTTACCAAGGTCAAGATGAACGCGACGGAGGCGCTGGGGTGGCTCGACTCGCCGCATGCGCTCGACGAGACAGTGCGCCGCCTCGAAGAGGTCAAGAGTATTGGGATCGACGCGGGGCTCGACTTCCACGGCCGTGTACACAAGCCCATGGCGAAACAGCTCGCGCGCGCCCTCGAGCCCCACCGCCCGCTGTTCATTGAGGAGCCCCTCCTCCCGGGACACGTAAATGAGCTTAAGGACTTGTACAACAAGACGACGATTCCCATTGCCGTGCGTGTCTGCTACGCTGACGCTGCGCGACGCTGACGCCAGCTCGGCGAGCGCCTCTTCACGCGCCAAGACGTCCGCCCATACCTCGAAGCGGGGTGCATCGACATCATCCAGCCGGACATCGCGCATGCCGGCGGGATATCGGAGACGCGCAAGATCGCGACCATGGCGGAGGCGTACGACGTGGGCGTCGCGCCGCACTGTCCGCTTGGCCCCCTCGCCTTCGCTGCTTCGCTGCAGGTCGGGTTCGCGACGCCCAACTTCGTCATCTGCGAGATGAGCTGGCAGATGCATTACAACACCGGCGGCTTTGACCTGCTGACGTACATGACGAACCCGGAGGTCTTCGCCGTGCGCGACGGCCACATCGACCTGCTCACGGCGCCGGGGCTCGGCGTCGAGCTCGACGAGGCACTCATCCGCGCCGAAGCGGCCGAGGCCGCGACGCTCCCGCCATGGTCCAACCCCGTGTTCCGGGGTCCCGACGGCGCCGTGCGCGAGTGGTAACCGTGTATCATGAGACCCAATGCATATTCTGCCGTGCCAAGCGATCTGCCGGCTGCTAAGATGCATACTCGTGACTGGAGAGCTGGGCCGATTACGAATCGGGCCGATATTCGGGATCGGGCTATTTTCGGGCTGGGCGAGTGCCTTGTCTTGTGCATGCTAACGACTGACTTGCCAGAGTCATATAACATGGCCTGCGTCGCTTGCGTCCCCACCATCAAACATGACACGCACCAACGCGCTCCGCAGCGACTTTATCTGGGGCTTTGCGACGGCCGCCGCGCAGATCGAGGGCGGCGGCGCCGAGCAGGAGGCCGCCAGCGGCCGCGGCCCGTCGGTAAGTCCCCGATGCGGACAGCGCTCACCCAGATCTGGGACTACTTCTGCGACCAGCCCGGCAAGATTGCGGACGGCGCCAAGGTCACGGACACGTGCGACTTCTACACGCGCTGGAAGGAGGATCTTGCCAGTACGTCTGCCCCCGCGCCTCCGCGCCCCCGCGCCCGCTGACGCCAGTGATGAAGAGCCTCGGGGCGAACTCGTACCGCTTCTCCATTTCGTGGCCGCGCGTCATCCCGCTCGGCGGCAAAGACGACCCCGTGAACAAGCAGGGGCTCCAGTTCTACTCGGACGTGATTGACGAGTGCCTGCGCCTCGGCATGACGCCGTTTGTCGTGCGTCCACCCCCGAGCAGCGCTCACTAGACTCTCTACCACTGGGACCTCCCGCTCGAGCTGTACAAGCGCTACGGGGGCTGGCTGGACAAGGAGCGCGTGACGGCCGACTTTGTGCGCTACGCCCGACTCTGCTTCGAGACGTACGGCGACCGCGTCCAGAACTGGATCACGCTCAACGAGCCATGGGTTGTGGCTGCGCTCGGCCACGCCGCCGGCGCCTTCGCTCCGTGCGTCCCCCGCGTCCGCGCTAACCCCAGCGGCCACGTATCCAACACTGAGCCATGGATTGTCGGGCACAGCCTTTTGATTGCGCACGCACACGCCGTGCACGCCTACCGCACCGAGTTCGCGCATCAGCGCGGCACGATCGGCATCACGCTCAACGGGGACTGGGCGGAGCCGTACGACGCCTCGCCCGACAACGTCAAGGCCGCGCAGGACAAGATGGACGCTGCGGTCGGCTGGTTCGCCGACCCCGTCTACCTCGGCCACTACCCCGCGAGTCTGAAGGCCATGCTCCGCGACCGGCTGCCGGACTTTACGCCCGCGGAGATCGCGCTCGTGCACGGCTCGTCCGACTTCTACGGCTGCAACGTATGTCCTCCCCGGCCGCGCTAACCCAGTTCTACACGACCAACATGGTCAAAGCGGGCGCGGACGACGAGACGAACGGCAACGCGCACCTGCTCTTCGAGGGGCCCGACGGCGTGCCCCTCGCCCCAGAGAGCGACCTCGGCTGGCTCCGCGATGTGCCCTGGGGATTCCGCAAACACCTCAACTACTTGTACAAGCGCTACGGCAAACCCATCTACATCACCGAGAACGGGTACGCCGTAAAGGGCGAGTCGGAGATGAGCGCCGCGGACGCCGTGCGCGACGCGGACCGTGTCCACTACTTCGAGGGATACCTCGGCGCGGTGCGCGACGCCGTCGCCGACGGCGTTGACGTCCGCTCGTACTTTGCGTGGTCGTGCTACGACAACTTTGAGTGGGCGAGCGGGCTCGGCCCGCGCTTCGGGTGTGTCCGCGTCGACTACGACACCAAGAAGCGCACCGTCAAGGACTCGGCGCGCTTCATCGGCCAGTGGTTCGAGGAGAACATTACGGCGTAGGCGTGAGGCGTGAGCAGACAAGGGCTAAAGGTCAAGGCTAAGCAAAGGGTTTCAGTAGGTTGTCATATGCATGTGTAGGGCTGGAGAGCGGGCCGAGACGACAAACGTGCCGCCAACGCTGCAGCGGGCCGATAAGGGGGACATGGGGGTATATCTCGGCGCATTCCGTCGGGTTGGGTTTCGGGCCGAAGTTGGACGAGCCGATCGGTGGCTCCATGCATCCGAGTGCCGACTGCGAGGTGACGGGCTGCTGATGCATTGCTCGAAGCGAGTGGCGAGTGGCGAGTGGCGAGACGGTCCAAGCTTTGTCTCGATTGCTGCTGCCTCTGCCGTGCGAGGCGCACAGCGCACGCCAATTACTATGGGGCAGATATTGTGAGCAGCCCAGTTTGTACACAACTCTTCCGCCTCACGTGTCTTGCGATTCGTATCAATATCAACTTGCGAGATGGTGCGTCAGCCTCATTAACTCCTCTCTCCTACACGTGTTCCGCCTTCGACGCGTCACGTCTCGCGTCCGCACCCTAGCCTGCCAAGGTCACTTGGCGGACCAGCCACCGCGCCACACACCACAAGCACTCTCAAAGTGGTAGTGAGCGCGAATACACAGGAAGAAGCGCATGCTTGCATACACTAAAGCCCGGTAATCAATACAAGGCGCGCGCCGGCGCGGAGAAACAAAAATGAGAATGTCACTACTGGCCAGCAGCAGTGCGCGCAGCCCACATGACAGCGAGGAGGGACTGGCCCTCGGGCGAGCGCGTGTTCTGGTCGGGGTAGACGAGGAAGCCGTTCGTGCCCTGCGGGTCGACGACGGCGGTGAGCCAGGCGTCCGTGTCGATCTTGTCCACGACGGCAGCGAAGGCCTGCTCCGCCGCGCCCTTCATGGGCCCGGCAAGGTCGGGGCGCATCACCAGGAAGCGGTAGAAGGCGCCGACGACGGCGGCGGTGCCGGCGCTGTCGCCGGCGGTGTAGCGCGGGTCAGTCTCCGCGCCCATGTAGTTGGGGATGCGCCCGCCGTCAAGACGGTCGAAGAGGGCTTGGAAGACACGCGCAGCGATGGCCTCCGCCTCACGCACTTTGGCGTCCAGCCCGCCGCCGGCCGCCTCAATGCTGCCGAGGACGCGCATGAGGCCCGCGAGCATCCATCCGTTGCCGGTGGCCCAGAAGCGCGTGTCCCACGTGTTCAAGTGGCGGTAGAGGTTGTGGTTCGTGTCGAGCAGCGCGGACGACACGAGCAGCCACTGGTCGAGCGCTTGCTCGAGCAGCTGCGTGTTGTTCGTCGTCAGCCCGAGGTATGCGAGGAACGGCGGAATCATGTATCCCTGGTCGGCCCAGAGCTCGAAGTGGTCCTCGCGCTGCGAAATCGTGCCGTTCTCCGAGCGCGGCCCGGCTTGGAGGTACGCGAGCTGGTTTCCGACGGCCCAGGCATACTGCTCGTTCGTGGCGAGCGGGGTGCCGGTGTTGGCGAGGCTATCGGCGAAGTGCGCCAGAACCCAAGTCGCGGTGCCGAGGGCACACGGGTCGCCGAGCGAGCCGGCGCCGTCGACAAGCGCCCGCGGCGTGCCGTTAAGAAGGATGGCGTCGACATCGCCCGAAGCGGGGGCGCCAGAAAAGTCGTAGTTGACGAGGAAGCCGGCGGCGACGCGGGCGGCCTCAATCGGCGTGGTGGTGCGCCGGTCGAGGGCGCTGTGGAACGATGCGTCGCTGTATGCCCACGGCGCAAGGCGGGGGTTGTAGACCTCGAGAAGGGCCTGTGTGAGGGTGCCAATCTCCCACGACTTGTGGGTAATTTGGATGGCACGTCCGAGGATGGCAGGAAGCTTCATGCTCAGCATGAGATAGGCGGGGTCGTAGATGCGGTGGTTGTACGAAAGGAGGGGGAGGTGGACAGCGTGGTAGGCGTTGTCCTGGCGCTTCTCGTGCGCTGCACGAGGGTGCCGGGGGTGGTGGGGGTGGTGGGGGATTGCGGCGGCTGCAGCCAGCTGCAGGAGCGCGAAGATGGCGGCGATGTACGCGACCATGACCATGGTGAATAACACAAGATGTGGAGAGGGGTCGAAGGAGAGTGCGGGGTGTTTTGGGGAGCGAGAGGATGGGGTTTAAGAAGAGGAAAGAGGAAACGAGAGAGATAGCGAGATAGAGAGAAAGACAGAGAGAGAGAATGAATCGAGTGCATTGAGTACTCCAAGAGAGAGAGAGAGAGCGTGCTGATGGCATCCAGACAGAGGGAGGAGACGGTAGCGTTGTGGCGGCGAGTGGCGCAGGGCGTAGCGCAGGGATCACAGGGAAACAACGCGTGTGTTGGGCGTCTGTGCGCCTGCCAAGCTCCCATTCTTATTGTTCCCTGGAATTCCACACTCTCTCCTCCCTCTCTCTCCCCCCATTTCGTTCCGTCGGCCATGTCTGTATTGCTCTTAATAAATGTCTGGCCAATGTCTTGGAGTTGGCAGCGATGGCCGTCTTGCATGGCCGGCGGAACGACAAGGCTCTCTCATCTCTACCGTTCCCAACCTCTGTGATGCTGTACTGCGATGCCGATCCAACGGACGTCCGCCCCATTGTTGCCCAGTATCGAGGGCATCGAGGCATCTCGAGTGTTTCACCAGCACCCCATCACTTGACTGACGACAGCCAGAGCTTGGCGTGCACGCCCCCTGCCGCGCATTCCATCGGATTAGTCCTCTATTTAGTGGGAGCAGCCGTTGGTGTCGTTCCAGGCCCCGCAGTCGTGTTTGGGTTGTGGCGGGTTTGTGGCAGAGCAAGATTCCGACATGTAATGGAAATGAGGTATCGAGGAACGCGACCCAGAAAATACAGTACACGGATGCGGGGTACCGTAGGAATATGATGTTGGGACGACGGCACAGGCACAACACCGTACACGTGGTGAGCTTGAGATGCAACTCGACTACTGTGCATGTTGCGAAAAGGTTTCCTCGGCAGTCACCTTGCGACGCCATCGTAGGCGGTCATGTTGGCATCAGAGAAGATGGCAGCATCTCTATGTGTTAGTGAGTGGTGGGTCAAGCCGCCACACCCGCACACAAAGAACCCGTAACATTACAATCCCTACAACTACAAGGACCGCCCACGCCCACGATGATCTGCGCGCGGCCCCGCGCCTATCCCGTCGCCCTCATCGTCCGCCTCCGGCACTCGTCCCATCGTATTCAACGCAAAGCTCACCGACGGGCCCGTGGAGCGCGTCGCGCCCGTTCCGCCCGACGGATGTGAAGTCGCCGACCCAGAGGAGTAGGATAGACCGAGGTCGCGCGCGACCTCGCTGTCGGCCGACGAGAACGGTGCCGCCGCCCACTCGCCGCCGCTCGCTACGCTTGCCGTGCGCGCGCTGTTCACGCTCACCGTGTTTGCGCTGTGCACCTCGGGCTGCGCACTGCGTGGCTTGCTGTACTCTGTGGGGTTGAGAACCGTATGCGTCGGGCGCTGCGTGCTCATCTGTAATGTAGAGTCGAGGTCGAGCTCGACCCCCGCTTCCCACTTCGTAAGCGCGCGGATCGGGCCGCTGTAGTGCCGCGAGCCGTACAGCTTCCACGTAAAGAATGAGATTAAGAGCGTCCCGGCCACCACGACAGGCGTCCATGATATGCTGTTGACGGTGACGGGGCTCCTTGTCGGGAAGATCTGCATTGTCACGACGGCGAGGCAGTAGAGCGCGCCGACGACAGCCACAGGACGCGAGAATCGACGCAGCGACCAGCTCGTGCGCCCTTCTTGCTGCAAGTCCTTCTTGCTGACAAGGTAGAGGATGATTGGGATGACCTGTAGTCAGCGACGACTGACGCGGCGCCTCGCTCGTACTCACATAACTCAGCATGCTCAAACTGGACGCGCACGCCGTAATGACAGGCACAACATGGTCCTTGTTCGCAAACCACAGGAGACACCACGGTGCCCACAGACCGATACACAACAACGTCGCGACCCACGGCTGCTTGTACTTGTTGGTGCGCTTAATGACGTGCGAGAAGGGCATGGCGTTGTCACGCGCGAGGGCGAAAGCGAAACGCGAACTGGCCTGCAGCTGAGCCTGGAGCTGGATGCAGAGGACGATGGCCATGATGGAGCAGATCGCGATGGCGTACTCTTCATTAACAGCGGCGAGGAGAATGTGTCCGACAGGAAAATCTTCTACTGCTATGCGCGCCGCGTCGGTCGGCTTGACGCTGATGAAAAGCAAAATGATGGAGATGTATCCGAGGGTGTAGACAACAACGATACTTGCCGTCATGGCGTTCGGCACGCTGCGGCTTGGGTTCTGTGTTTCTTCACTCATATGTGCGCAGATGTCCGACCCGTTGGCGATCGTGCAGTTTTGCCATCCGAGGAGCCACACGAGCCCGCGACTGTTGAAGCCAGTCCTGTTGTACGGGGCAAAAGAGGTGGAGATGGCCGGCTCTGTTTTCGAGTACGTGCGGTGGGTGACGCCTTTGGCGACAAGCGCGATGCAGAGGCAAAGCCATGCGCCGAGCGTGAAGCAAGCAGCCGACTTCCAGTACCGGGGAGAACTGCCCCAATGTGTAGTTCCGACGCAGCCGACGGTCGTGACGATGCCGAGCATGAAGAGGAAGCGGTGCCATGACTCTGGCTCGAAACCGTACGCGAGGTTCATGGTACCAGTGATGAGTGTCGTGTTCTGCCATGACACAAGGACGAGATTGCCGATGTGGCCACCCATGACGAACGCGCTTACGATCCAACCCCAGTATCGCTCGCCACCGATACCATTGCGCGTGAGCTTCCATGCCCATGAGGACATGGCGCCAGCCACGGGATATGCGGATGCCAACTCGCTCATGGTGGACACCATGCACATACTCAAAAGCCCCGACAACGGCCATGCCACCAGCTGGTGTCAGTTCCGCCGGAAGGTCTGCTCACCATCATAGCCGGGCCGCCATACCGATACGCGCCCGGGACGGCGAAGATGGTTCCCTGTCTGTCAGTTGATTGCTCGGGCAATTGATGACCAATGTCTCAGAAGAGACATTAGAGGATTGGGAAGTTCCGCCCGGCGGCGATGCGCGCCATAGGCAGCGGGCGGAGACAGCAGCAGCAGCGAGGACATGCCCATGGTCTGTAGATCGACGAGGGCAAAACCTCGCCGTTGATTTCCGAGGATGGGCAGAGTGGATGGGCCGAGGGCGGATAGGAGGGAAGGGGCGCAAGCTTGGCGGGGCGGGTGACGCACCTGAAGAGAGTTGATGTTGAGCCATGCCAACGCCAGCGACGACCAGAAGGTGTAGTTGCGCCCAAGCACGGCATCGTACCCGAGCTGCTGGAGACGTAATGTATCGCGGTCAACGACAGTCTTGGAGCTGCGGCGCCCCAAGAAGCCGAGGCTCTTGAGCCTCCCGGTGCCAGTTGGATCGGGAGTGAGACTGGAACGGGTGGTACGCGTCGTGTCGGGGCTCATGACTGGCGCGAGGTCGTAATCAGAGTCATTGGTGCGTATTTGCGGGGGTGCGGGCACTGGCCGCGACGAGTGCGGCACCTCATAGTTGGACTGGTGTCCAGAGTAGGTGGGGGCAAGGTACTGCCCATCGGAGACAGAGAGGAATGATTCGGTGGGGGCGCCGATGTAGACGCTGTCGGATTGGGATGCAGTGGACTCGATGAATGTGTTGTATGGTGTTGGGGCTGCGAGGCCGTAGTCAATGCTGCGATCTTGATCAAGAGAACGCGATGACTCTGACCCCGAAGACGGCGCGGTGAGCCCAGAGCGCTCGGCGTCGTCCTGCAGGGCCGCCGCGCGCGCTGCGTGGTCGTGGGACGCGGGCATGACTTAGCGGCGGTGAGTGCACATCGGAGGGGGGTGAGAGGGGGTAGAAGGAGTGTGAGGCGGTGGTGATGGAGTAGGAAAGAATGAGACGAGAGAGAGAGTTTGAGAGACCGAGGGAGGAATGAAGAAAGGGGGTGATGGAGCAAAGACTTGGCGCGTGAGTCTACGACTGCGGATGGGCAAGGTGTGATGGGCCGGAGTGACCGAGGTCGAGCGAGTCTTTGAATGCGAGATTGGGATCTGGCGACAGTCACCTGCCACAGGCGAGAGCGAGACAGTGATCAGAGACAGCGAAGAATGAGGGAGGAGAGGCGGGGGAGGAGGAGGGGGAGGGGGTGGAGGCGGAGGGAATGCTCGGGGGCCTGGACAACTGAATGAGCGCGCCTGGATGGGGGGCGAATGGCGATAAGGGAGCAAGCGGCGGGGCCCGATGTCGGAGAGCGTACGGCAGAGGAGGGAGGAGGTTTGAGGAGGACGAGGACGAGGACGAGGGCGAGGGCGACGGTGAGGAGATGAGGAGATGAGGAGGATGAGGAGGAGACGATGGAGAAGAAGGAAGATTGGCCATCAAAACGCCAGGCGCGACAACGCCATCCATCACGCAACCCTCAGCCCATGCAAGGCGCCAGACCCTCTCTCACTGTGCCCACGGTCCAGTCATCCGCTGGCATAGTATGCTTGCGCGGCCTGCGTGGCTGCGCCGCTCTCCGCTCTCGGCGTGGGTTGGGCGTGTGCGTGGGCGGGATGGGTCAGCCAGTCCGCGCCGAGACCGAGCCAAGAGGAGGGTGGCGGATACCCGGGGACGCGGAGGCAAATGAATGTGCGGAGATGCACAGGAACGCCGCTCACCGCTCACCGCCCGCACTCCGCCGCTTTGGCCGGCATCATCCTGGTCGGCTAGTCTCAACGCCTCTCGTACGGCTCAGCAGCTGCGGAACGACTACGCATGGATGCTGTGCTTAGCTTGGTGCTGATTATTGCAGATGCAAGCGCCTGGTTGGAAGCTGGTGGCCACTCATGAACGCCCGATATCATCACAATGCAGTCGGCAACGATCGGCAGTGACGAGAACACGACCACTCGTACCCGGCCACGAGACATGCCAATATCTCCAACACTGTGTAACCCATATCATAGCACTGAAAAGGCTCCCAAGATACATTGACGATCTCCCTCTGGTGTCCTCTCACATGCTCATGCTGTTATTGCTGCTGCACTGCCGCCGTTGCTGCTGCTGCTGCTGCTAACGGCCGGCTGCTCATTGCCCTCCGACCACCCCACCCTCCCGTAACCCAGGCGTGGCGAATGACACGACAGGACGCCCCGCGCTAGCACTGCGCTCCGCACTGGGCGGGCGGCGAGGCAGAGAAGCCGAGCGCGCAAGCTTGGTCGGGCTCGCATTTTTGGCGGGCGTCGTCGGCGCCGTCGATGTCGATGTCGGCCCTGTCCCAGTCTTGTCAACGTCCATCGGCTGGTGCGACGACGCGCGCTGCAGAGACGGCCGCTTCTCAGCGGCGCGCTGCCGGTCGCGTTCACGCTCGCGCTCCTGCCGCCTCAGCTCGCCCGCCACCTCAGGTGACACACCGGCGTCCTCCTCCCGCCCTTGCCAGTAGGCTAGGAGGCGGTCGCCGTACCGCTGCATCTCATCGGGCGGGATCATGAGCGTAAAGTTGTTCAGAAGGAGGAACTGCAGCTCGAGTTGGTTCAGCTCTGTGGGTGGCAGCCCGCCGACCTTGGCGTAACGCGAGTTCGTATAGAAGACGTCTGATGTCAGTGGCGCGAACAGGGGGGGCGAGGGCAACGCGCATGGCGCTGCAGACATCATGAGACGACTTCCAGGAGATGCACGAGTGGTGGGCAGCTAGGTCAAGCTGTGCGACGGTGTGGCGATACAGCTAATGACGCACCCAAGCTTGAGGGTGGGGGAGGGGGGAGGAGGCGCGGGGGCGCGCGGGGCCGGGCACAACAACACACAAGGACGCTCACACACAAGAGCGGCCAGATGTGTCCTTGTCCCCTTGTTATCCGTAGACGACGCTCGATCGTCGTCACCACAATGGCCCCCGCATGGTCTTCCGCCGCCGCCGCCGCCGCCGCCCCGCATCTGTCGCCGGTTGCAGGCTGCCGGGTCTTATGCGATCTCACGGATCTCAGGGGACTCACCTGAGAAGAACTTTGACGCCACCGTCACTCCGGCGATGATCAATCTGTGAATGTTGTACGAGTCAATGGCAAAACCGCGCGGCCCGACGGCGGCCTTGATGCCGCCCACGCCCCCGGGCGTGCCGAGTTTGCTCATGCGGTCAAAGTAGACGAGGAGGCCAAGAAAGACCTCGTTCGTGGTGGGACAGTACTTGAGGATGCGGAGAAGGTATGCCTCAATGCTGATCGAGGGCACGTGTCGGGCATGGAAGGAGAGGATGCTCTGGGGCTGTGAGAGTGATGCCTTGGAGGCGGTGAACAGCTTGTCGCCGGCGGCGAGGTCGACAGGAGGCGGGTCGTCATGGAACAGCTCATTGGTAGGGGAGTCGTGCACTGTGCTGGAGCGTGACTGGGAGGTTGTCGCCGATGCAAGCGAAGCTGCGTCGCTCGGTGGCGGCTCGTGCGCGTCGTCGGCCTCCTCGCCTTCGTCGGCTTGTTCGGAGCGCAGCTGATCGTTACTGCTGGCAATCTGTTGCAGCAGACGTGCGAGGAGGCGGAGGAGTTGCGGGGTGGGGTACGTGGCCAAGTCGAGGTGGGGCGTGATTTCACGCGGGGGCGAGTTGGACCGTGGAGCGCTGCCTCCGTGTGCTTCTGGCGCATGTGGTCGGCTAGGGCCAGCTTCGGGGGCGCCATTAGATTGCGAGGTGGACGCGCGGATTGTGCTGCTGGAGGATGTTGAGGCCGTAGAGGATGGGGTTACGCCGGAGGGGTGTGACGCCGAGGCGTCTGCGGTGGACGCCATGAGCGGGGCGGGGGGGGGGGGGGGGGGGGGGGGGGGGGGGGGGGGGG